TAACGACAACGCCGGCTGAAGCACAGGCATCACAGGGACATATCCACCACAACTCCACAAGCCTTGAGCCGAAACCCTTAAATCATTGCATGCAGCAGCGGAATGAATGTACTCCATCCGTTCGAAATTACTTGCCTCGAAAATGGATGTATCTAGAACTAAAATATATCTAGATATATCCATTTCTGCGACAATTAATTTCGGACGGAAGGAGTACGTACGCACATCAGGTGTATATCAGCATGTATCGGTTCATCAGCTGAAACTCCCGCACACCGTTCCACCTCTAGAACCAAGTCAACTTCTAAACCCATTAACACGGGCCAATGAACAGCCTAAATTATGCAGGGCACTGTTATTCCACAGCAAGCGACAATCACAACCATATCAAGTCATAATTAAAATAACTTGAAGATGATGATCGATGCGTCTGGAGATGACGTCGACGTTTCGCCCTAGGTTAACGAGGCGCCGCGTGGTGTGATGATTCAGGTGGAGGATCATCGCAGGCGGCAAGGCGAGACAGAGCTGCGACGACGGCGCCAATGGGGGATCTCATGGCCGGCCGTTGGTGGATGCACATGGAAGCAACTTCTAGTGCCTCCTGCAAACCCATGGACGGATACTGGTCCTGCAGCGCCGGGTCTGCCATCCACCGGAGCTGGCTCCTGTCCTTCATCACTCGTGTCGCCTGATCCAGCAGCAAACATCAATCATTCACGGCAAAATCAACAAAAAACAGCAAATGCGCGAACCACGGGCTTGGCTATAATTAACTTACCCACATGACAAGGTTCCGATCCTCGGCGGCGGCCTGGGCGGGGTCGAAGGGGGTCCGTCCCGTGATCAACTCCAGCAGCACGCCGCCGAAGCTGTACACGTTCGACTTGGTGGTCACCCTCCCGGTAGCTAACATCTCGGGGGCAATATTAGTACTTCGCGTGAAGCTCTTGATTTCCTCTGCACCTAGCTGATGAAGCTCTGCCAGTCCATACTGGGACAGCTTTGGGTGGTAGCCATCTCCGAGCAAGATGTCCGAGCTGCTCATGGGTTTGCGGTACACCACACCTTGGTGGTGCAGATACTCCAAACCCTTGGCCACGCCGGCAGCTATGTTCATCCTTGTGTTCCAGTCTAGCAGTGCTTTGCCCGGAGACCGATCTGTCTAGCACAAGATCGATCCGGTGTGGTTAGTTAATCAACACAGACTCGAGCGATTGAATCGTGGGCAAAATTAATTTACTGGGTTTTGGTATATATCAATAAATACCATGGAGGTGATTTTGGAGAGAACCCAATGGCATGTACTCGTGAACCAAGATCCTGCGATTGCCGTCCGTGCAGAAGCCGACGAGGTTGACGACATTCGGGTGGCGCAACGAGCTCAGCGTCAGGACACGAGCAAGAAACTCCTTGTTGAGTTGCTCTGATGAATATGAAACTAAGTGAAGAATGGATTAGCTAGCTGGCCAGGATGATCACCTGACTGACGCTCCTGAGGTAGCCTTTGTAGAGGCTCGCCTCCCGAACGATGCGGAAGCCGTCTCTGAAGTTCCTGGTCGCCTCGGCGAGCTCGTCGAAGGTGAAGGTTCGTGCCGCAGTGGCGGTGGCGGCGACGCTGCCGCGGCTGTGGGGATCGGCCCGGGGAGGCGGTGGGATCACTTCCTTCCTTGCCCCCAGGCAGAGGAAGCAGCTGGAACCACCCATCGCCGGCGGAGAGGAAGAGCCGCCGCACCGCACCACTACTGGTGGCTTGTGGCCTTAAGTAGCCAGCACCGCTTGCCGAAGACGGAAACCACCAACATCTTGAAAGCGCGTCTACTCGATCACTTTGCCGAAAACGGAAACCACCAACGACCATCAAGTAGTACTACAGTAGTATTTCTCTGACCGGGGTTGCACTTTGACCATAGAATAAAGCATGCAAGTTACTGTAGTATTTTTCAGACTATATAGTGCTCGAGTTTAGCTAGCACAGTACCACATTACTGGTGGCTTATGGCCTTGAGGAGCCATTACAGCTTGCCTAAAACGGAAACCACTAACTTGCAAACAAACGAAACAAGTAGCCAGTCGGTACACACGCGTCTTCTCTCCACCATGGTCTCCGGTCACTTCACTAAAGCCCCAAGCAAAGAACGAGAAGCAACGTTGATCAGCCCACTCGGCTTTTCCTCTTTCAAACATGCATGCGTGCACGCATGTCCACCCAAATTCTCGCGGGCCATGGCATCTGTACTATGTTTACATTGCTTGTTCCGTTCTACAATGTAGTGCGCATAGACTTTGACCAAGTTTATAAAGACTACGACTGAGTTTGTGAAGACTACATTATGAAAAATAAAGAGTACTAATACTCCCTGGGGTCCTTTTTACTACTCTGCATATAAGAATTATCTGAAGTCAAACTTCATAAAGTTTGAACATATTTACATGAAAAAATATCACCATGTACAATACTTGCTTCGATCCATATTAATTGTCACTGCTTTAATTATACAACTTTGTATTCAAATTGGATAGGAGGGAGTACTAAAGTTATACAATATGAAAATTAAATCCATGCCGCATCTAATGATAATGATTTCGTATTGTGAATATTGATATGATATTTATAAAGTTGGTCAAACTTTACGAAGTTTAACTTCAGACAAATCTTATATGCAAGGTAAAAAGAACTGGTGGGAGTACCTCTTATTTGAGGGAAAAGTTCCAATTTATTCATCAAATATCATGTCATCATAAACAACATCAGAAGTAATATAAATAAATTACATCCATGCCCGTAGACCATCCAGCGAAGACTATAAGCATTGGAGGGAGCCGAAGGCGCGTCACTGTCATCAGCCCTTCCTCATCATAGTCAGGCAAATCTTGTTGTAGTAGATAGTCGAGATATCATCGCGCTAAGGATTAAAATGACCAACACACGAGAACAACAACTGTCGCCGATGAAGCGAACCGTAGATCTAAAGTATCCAACCTGCAAACACTCGAATGTAGACACACGAAGATCGGTCCAAGCAGATCCACCAAAGACAAACACCGACCGAACCCCGTGAGATCCGCTAGAAACACACCTCCACACAGATCTCACGATGCTAGACGCACCACCGGGACAGGGGCTAGATGGAAAGAACCTTATTCCGTTTTAGGGAGCCGCCGCCTCCTCGCCTTCTTGAGCAAGACACAAATCCTAAACAAACTAAAGAAACACATAAAAATGGAGCAGGAGCCTTCCCACCGGCAAGGGCCGGGATCGACCGCACCTTCATGGCCTTAAGGCCATAGTGAACAAGACGGATCAGTATCGGCGCCAGCGAAAGGCGGAGAAACCCTGGCCGCTTGGGAGACGATGTGGCGAGGAGGAAAACGGTTAAAGTACTCGTACTAAGTTTTGCCTCGAATAACAGATCCCACATCCACCCCTTTATCTTTGTTGCATTTGCACTAGCTGCTTTTTTCATTCTCCCTTCTCCTTTTCTTCCGACAGCACACGACTAGAAGAAGAATCGACTAAATCACTAAAGACTAAGCAAGATTAGTGATTAATGTACGATATTAGTATCACTAATATATAACTAGCACACAGGCCTACGTAATGCAAGGGCACCTTTTACATTATGCAGTGCCTTGTGTCTCATGCCTGCAACGGGTCGTGCTGCATCGAAGTCGTATGGTGCATGATCCCTCTGTCTTATTATGTACTCCCTTCGTTTCTAAATATAAGTCTTTGTAGAGATTTTATTATGAACTATATACAAAGCAAAATGAGTGAATCTACACTTTAAAATGTGTCTATATACATCCGTATGTGGTGCATAATGAAGTATCTACAAAGACTTACATTTAGGAACAGAGGGAGAGGGAGTATATGTCAACTGCCGAGGGTGACTCACATAAATCATCTCCTCCTTGTTATACACTGTATAGGACACGTGGGTGCTTGAACCATGAAGCCGACAGAGCCAGGAGCAGCTGTCATAGGGCTCAACATAATTGTTTTGACCCTTAATCACGATTAAGAGTTTAATGTGAAATGATCCATTTTCAAAAGTAGTCTACCACCGGTGTCAAACTTACATACCAAGGATAAGTAAATAGTGTGGCTTTAGCAACGACTTTCTCTTAAAAAAAATAAGTAAAGAGACTTTATCTGTTGACCAGGCCACTAATCATTAATGCCTCTATAGTACAATAATTGACAAACCAACAAAAAGTCAAGATAGATTGCTTAGTCTTCGTGCATTGACGATTTGACATGATGAGAAAAATCTATGAAGCATAGTACGTCTTCTAGTATGATTTTTTTCCTTACAAAAGAAGCACATGCATGCATTGACTGACCGGAAAGACTTGTGGACCATTGATTGATGGACGAAAAAAGTCTACCAAGATGTTCTTTGATAGTACCAACTTTTAATGTCATCTACCCCTTTGAAGGAAGCCATGCATGAAGGCTAGCCATAGTGGGGTAACTTAGGTAGTAACTTACACATCCCAAGATAATTTTGCTTATGTGGCATGTATTTAATGAGGAAAGAGATGTTTGTGATAACATAATATGTTACTGTAATATATCATTTTTGAGGCAAAATGAGTCTATGAGCTAATAAATGAAGCCATATATGACACTACTACTATATTACTTTGCACTATGAAGATAGTAACTTAGACTAGTATTATATGCATGATACTAGTATAAATTACTCCCCACTATGATCAGCCGAAGAAATCTTCCGTGACATGCTGACATCATCTCATTAATTACTAAATTCAATTTCTAAAATATTTTATTTTAAAAAACCATTAATTTAATCCGCGATCCATTTTCATCGCAGGCTAAGGCGGCGCCCAAGTCCGCCCTGGCCGCCGGCAACGTCAAGAAGCCCCCACCGCTTCCGCCCCGGCACCGTCGGCCCGTCGCACTTTGGGAGATCACCGAGCTGCTCATACCCAAAGCCCCCCTTCCAGCGTCTCGTCCCGGAGATCGCCCAGGGCTTCAGGACCGACCTCCGCTTCCAGAGCTCCGCCGTCTCCGCGCTGCTGCAGGAGGCCGCCGAGGCGTACCTGATGGGGCTGTTCGAGGACACCAACCTCTGCGCCATCCACGCCAAGCGCGTCACCATCATTGCCCAAGGACATCTTAGCCTTTGTTCAGCGGTGGAAATGTATGCGTGCTAGTGTTTATTCGTGCCATGGTGGATGTAGTGCGCATGATCTGATGTCACCACCTTGCTGTCATCAGTAATTAAAATGAAAATGCTGACTATCTTTTCCCTCGTTGTTCTTGCCATGTCGGATGTGTGTTCCCATCAGCAATGGAAATGAAACTGTTGGCTATCTTTGCCTCGAACATGAGCTTTCCCTTTGTTCGTGAGCCTGTCCTTCCTAAAATTCTCTGATTTTAAGCTAAACTAACCATGCCACGCCAAATTTCGCAGTTAAGTAAGCTGGTTTGCAGTCTCTGAACCTGAACGAACATCATGGTAATTGTCGTCTTCAATTTCGAGTATGAACCAGTTGCATAACAGTACGTCAGTGCCAGTATGTTTGATGTTCGGTGCACAGATTCTGCAAGTGTCTGGCCTAATGATACAGCAATCCTGCATGCGTCTGGCCTAGTGTTCCAGTCCCGTATCATCTATAACTACATAGTTACTGTACATGCTACATGGATGTCTTTGTCTTCAGATCTTATTAGATGATCGGTTCAGAAACAGGCTTCAGGCTTCCCCATTTTGATTGTAATGTTGGGTGCATCACCACGATTCAACTAACTGAACCTCCAAGTTCGTTCAGATTCTTTTTACACCTGTGGCCGTTCCAGGAGCTGAGCAAGGAAGTGCTGGCCACGATTGGTCAGAGTCTCATGCTGATCTTGGGTCTGCCGCTGTCGAAACAGGTAGCTGTTGCTCGATGTTTTGTTCTCAGTATAATTAGTAGTATCATGGACAAATGCAATGGTTGGGTATACTGTTAGAGTACAGATGCTGAAGATTGGGTACATGTAGGAGTATAAAGCGAAGATGTGTCCTATCGGAACAGGTAAAAGGGCAGTTCACTTGTGAAATTTCATGCCGGTTTTAGCTAAGTTTCTCTGATTCTTAGCTTAATTATTCTTTGGCTATGTCAAAAATATGTATCTAGTAATCTGGTTTGCTGCCTCTGAACCTGAATGAACAGATGTTAATATGCCCGTCCAGTTCGGTTTTACATAACCGTACCAGTATGCTTGTCTTGTCCGATAACTACAAGCGATCCTAAGCTGACATCATGCCTGCCGTTTTTGTCAGGATGGCTA